AGCTATGGTAATTAGTAGGAAGGAAGCACTCCAATTTGTACAAATAATCAACACATTGAGTCCCACAAAGGCATAAATGTATTCATGATCTATGTATATATGACTTAATTTAAAAAAACTTCTCACAAGAACTTATAAAGAAAAAAGAAAGTGAAGGAGAGTAAAGAAATTTGTAGACAAGGGCTCAGAAAAGGGGACACTCTCTGTATGCTTTTCCCTAAGTAGTTATACAATGAGGGCGTCAACAAGACCAGACGTGGAATTTAGGAACTAGTGGAAGCAAGAAGGAAGAGAAGCTCCAGGAAACAGCTGGGCAGGAGCCCAGAGTACTTTCTAGAAATTCTAGACAAATGAAGGAAGGACGTGCTAGCAAGGAAATGCAATGACTACTTGACACTATAGAAAACAGTATTGGCAAAGAAACAACTCTTTTATTTTTTTTGCAGTTTTTTTTTTTTTTTTTTTTTTGGCTGGGTCTGGGCTTAAACCTGCCACCTCTGGTATATGGACCCGGTGCCCTAGTCATTTGAGCCGCAAGCGCCACCCAGAAACAACTCCTTTTTATTCATTTTCAAGTATTTCACTAATCATCAAAATTGTAACTATGATAAGAGAATAAGAAGGTGACCTGGCGCGGCGCCTGTGGCTCAAGTGGCTAAGGCGCCAGCCACATATACCTAAGGTGGTGGGTTCGAATCCAGCCTGGGCCCACCAAAAAACAACGACACTGCACCAAAAAATAGCCGGGCGTTGTGGCGGGCGCCTGTGGTCCCAGCTACTTGGGAGGCTGAGGCAGGAGACTCGCTTGAGCCCAGGAGCTGGAGGTTGCTGCAAACTGTGACGCCATAGCACTCTACCCAGGGGGACAGCTTGAGGCTCCGTCTCAAAAAAAAAAAAAAAAACAAAGGGTGACCATTCTTGACAGAAACTGAGACAGGAGGGACAGGAGAACATGGGACAAGTAGAAACACTGGCGACTCACAGAGCAAGATATTAATAGACAATAGTTGATGGCACAAGAGAAAAAGTGAGATCCCAAGTTACGAATGCCATCACTGGAACAATGAGACGTGTTGCCTTTTAATCACATGAAATGGCTGTTTTTTAGGTCAAAAATGGTTGAACATCAGAAATTGCGGATGGTCCAATCCAGTACATGAGCAGAAATATACGGTATCACATCACGTCAGTAAATTAAATCTACCTGCAAAAGAGTTTTTAAAACCAAGTTTTTTTTTTTTTGAGACAGAGCCTCAAGCTGTCCCCCTGGGTAGAGTGCCGTGGCATTACAGCTCACAGCAACCTCCAACTCCTGGGCTCAAGCGAGTCTCCTGCCTCCGCCTCCCAAGTAGCTGGACCACAGGCGCCCGCCACAACGCCCGGCTATTTTTTGGTTGCAGCCGTCATTGTTGTTTGGCGGGTCCGGGCTGGGGATTCAAACCCACCACCTTAGGTGTAGGTGGCTGGCGCCTTAGCCGGTTGAGCTATAGATGCCGAGCCTAAAACCAAGTTTTAAAGGATAAACTGAAAGTTAAATAGCAAGAGACTGAGGATGGCTGTCTGTGTGTTCAGCAAGTAAAGACAGAAAAATCTATGTCAGTTTGGAAAGACAAGAGAAAGACTGAATACTTTAAAATCTGTTGAGAAAATGTATAATTATGTATGCATGTTTTTAGAAAAAAATTAAAATAACAAGAGAGAGAGTGATATAAACTTTATCAGCCCACCAGAGGGAATGAAAGGAGAAGGGGAAAGCCACAGAAAATCAATGGAAAATGGAAAACACAAAACAGTTTCATAATAACAGGACATCAGGCTCGGCTCCTGTAGCTCAGTGGGTAGGGCGCCGGCCACATACACACAGGGGCTGGCAGGTTCGAACCCGGCCGGACCTGCTAAAAACAACAATGACAACTACAACAAAAAATAGCCCAGCGTTGTGGTGGGCACCTATAGACCCAGCTACTTGGGAGGCTGAGGCAAGAGAATCACTTAAGCCCAAGAGTCTAAGATTGCTGTGAGCTGTGATGCCACAGCACTCTACCAGGGGCAAATAAGTGATACTCTGTCTCAAAAAAATAAATAAAAAATAAAAATAAAAAAAAACAAGACATGAGCAACCCGCTCGCAAAAATATGAGCAGATCAGTTTCAATTATTAACAGAAGGATGCTAGCTAAATTAAATTTAGAAAAATCCAACTCTATATTGCTTACAAAAGTTACACCTAAAGTAAAACTAAAGAAAAAGATGAAAATAAAGAATGAAAAATCATATACCACAGAGATGTAATCAAGAGAAAAAAAAATCACATAAAATACACTTCAGAAAGAAAAATCACAGGGGGACGAAAACTGATACTACATAATTATAAAAGGTTAAATTCACTAAGAAAACATAATAATTTGAAAATTCTGTGCAACTAATAATATAACATGAATTATATTATTTACATAAATGTAAATGATACATGCATGGGTCACTACAAAAGTTTTGAGACAGTCTGTGTTATGGTCCATTATTTCACTTCCAAGAGTAAAAGCGTCTTTTCTGATTCACAGTCCACAGCGTCCTTTCTGATTCACTCCTGCAAGTTTCAACTTGCTCAGCTTATAGGTGTTGCTGGGAGGATTGCATCTGCTTCCATATATGCAGATTTTACCTTTCTTGATTTTTGTGTATCTCAAAATTTTTGTCATGACCCATGTATAACAGAATTATAATGAGAAATTTAAAAATACACAAACTCTTCTCAGCAATTGATAGGCAAACAAAAAGTCAGTAAGTTTACAGAAGTCTTAAGGCAAGTTAACAAGCTTTATCTAATGAATTTATAATACCGTGAGCCCAATTATATACCAATTATAATACCATGAGCCCAATTTAAAAGAGAATATATATGTTCTTTTCTCAAGCACACAGAGAACACTTACAAAATGATTGTGTACTAGGCCATAAAATAAGTCTTGAAAATATTCAAAGAATTGGGCTCGGCACCTGTAGCACAGTGGTTACAGTGTTGGCCACATACACCTAAGCTGGTGGGTTCAAACCCGGTCCGGGCCTGCTAAACAACAATGACAACTGCAACAAAAGAAATAGCTGGGCGTTGTGGTGGTCGCCTGTAGTCCCAGCTTCTTGGGAGGCTGAGGCAAGAGAATCGCTTAAGCCCAAGAGTTTGAAATTGCTGTGAGCTGTGACAGCACAGGACTCTACCAAGGGTGGCATAGTAAGATTCTATCTCCAAAAAAAAAAAAGAAAGAAAAGAAAATATTCAAAGAATTGGGATGATAGAGACCACAATTGAGTTAGAGCTTAATAATAGAAAAGCTAAAACGATAATAGTAATAATGCATTTGGAATAAAAAGCACACTTCTAAATACTCCGTAATTTAAAGGAAAAAACAATGAAAATAATACAGAACTGAACAATAACAGAATTAACATAATATGATAATACTTAAAATTTGGAACTACTGCTAAAGTTGCACTTAGGGGAAATTTATAATCTAAAAAGAAGAAAATGTGAAAATTGATGAGCAAAGTATCTGACCTAAGAAGTCATGAGTAAAAACCAACTAAATAGAATCAAAGATAATGGAAGAAGGAAATAATAAAGATAAAAGTTGAGAGTGAATGAAATAGAAAACAGTGACAGAACCGAGAAGTGCAACAGCCCAAAGTTTAACCTTAGTAAAATAGGGGGAAAATGCAAGATCAAGAAAAAATAAAGATGGATATAAACAATATTGAAGATAAAAAAAAATAGACAACTACAGATACAGCAGAAATTTTCTTTTTTTTTTTTTTGAGACAGAGTCTTACTCTAGAGTGCCTGGGCATCATAGCTCACAGTAACCTCAAACTCCTAGGTTCAAGTCATCCTCCTGCCTCAGCCTCCCAAGTAGCTGGGACTGCAGGCTCCCATCACAACGCCTGGCTAATTTTTTTACTTTCAGTCAAGATGAAGTCTCACTCTTGCTCAGGATGTTCTGGAATTCCTGAGCTCAAGTGATTCTCCTGACTTGGTCTCCCAGAATGCTAGGATTATAGAGAATTTAAAGCAGAATGAAAATGGTATGAAAAATTTTGAGCTAATCAATTTGAGAATTTTGAGAAAAAGTTAATGAGTTCCTGAAAAATATATAATGTGTATCAAAAGTGAAGGAATAAAAAATCATATAGATTTATAAACCACTGAAAACATTAAATCAGTACTTAAAAATAAATGCCACACACAACTCCCATATACCATGGTAATCAGTCTCCACACTGAGCCCCGGGGAGCCTTGCCTCCTGGTGTTTACACTCCCATGCAGCACCTGCCCCCATGGAATCAGCTGACTAGTTAGTATAAACCAGTGGGATATTATGAAATGGTGAATTATGATTTGGAGGCTAGATTGTAAAAGATGTGGACTTCTCCCTTGTTATCTCTTCTTGAATCATTTGCACTGGGGAAGCCAGCTGCCATGTTGTGAGGACACTCAGGCAGCCCTAAAGAGGTCCATGTGGCAAGGTTCTGAGGTCCTGCCATGAGCCTGCAAGGAACTGACAATGGTGGGAGTCAGGTATTTTAGAAACAGATACTCTAGCCACAGTCAAGATGATTGTAGCCTCAGACAACATTTTGATGACAACCTTATGAGAGACCCTGAGCCGGAACCATGCAACTAAGCTACTTCCAAATCTTGACTCTCAGAAACTGTGAGATAATGAATTTTGTTGTTTTAAGCCACCAAAATCTAAGATATTTGTTTTGCAGCAATAGATACCTAATATACACACACAAACACAATAAAACCAGGCCAACATAGTTTCCCAGAGTTTTACAATACATTCAAGAAAAATATAATACCATATTTTACAGTTCAGAAAAAACATTCTGACCTACTTCATGAGGCTGATAATATGATATCAAAACCAGACAAGAATATTATTTTTAAAAAATGTATAAGTCTCAGTAGTGAAGAAATATTAAAAGTTCTAAACAAGCCAGTTCTCCACTTCCACTGCACAGCTCAGAGCCAACGCGGCCCGGCCCCACCAGCCTCCAGGACCATGGCCAACCTCGAGCACACCTTCATCGCCATCAAGCTGGATGGCGTGCAGCGTGGCCTGGTGGGTGAGATCATCAAGTGCTTCGAGCAGAAGGGATTCCATCTCGTGGCCATGAAGTTCATTCGGGCCTCTGAGGAACACCTGAAGGAGCACTATGCTGACCTGAAGACCGCCCATTCTTCCCTGGACTGGTGAAGTACATAAACTCAGGCCCTGTTGTGGCCATGGTCTGGGAGGGGCTGAATGTGGTGAAGTCAGGCCGAGTGATGCTTGTGGAGACCAATCCAGCGGATTCTAAGCCAGGCACCATTCGTGGGGACTTCTGCATTCAAGTTGGCAGGAACATCATTCGTGGCAGTGACTCAGTAAAAAGTGCTGAAAAAGAAATCAGCCTGTGGTTTAAGTCCTGTGCTTATGACTGGGTCTATGAGTAAGAGGTGGACAAAGCAGCAGTCCCTTCAACACTGCATGGTTTGTCCCTGGACACAGATCTTCATTCCACTGACTTGGAAGCAATAGGATTGTTTATTCTTTTCTAAAGCACATTTACCAATAAAGCCTTTGGAAACTGAAAAAAAAATAAAAGTTCTAAACAAGACATTAGCAAATTGAATTCAGAAATATTTTTTAAAAATACATGAACAGGGCTCAGCGCCTGTAGCACAGTGGTTACAGTGCCAGCCACATATACTCAGGTTGTTGGGTTCGAACCCGACCTGTGCCAGCTAAACAACAATGACAAATGCAACAAAAATTGCTGGGTGTTGTGGCAGGTGCCTATAGTCCCAGCTGCTTGGGAGGCTGAGATAAGAGAATCACTTCAGACCAGGAGTTTGAGGTTGCTGTGAGTTGTGATGCCACAGGACTTTACCAAGGGCAATGAGGTAAGACTCTGTCTCTCTCTCTCTCTGTATATATATATATGAACAGGCTTGGTTTACCTCAGGAGAATAAGATATACTTTGCAAAACTTATAAATGTATTCTCCATTTTAACACATTACACTGAAAAACCATATGAGCAGCTCTGCCCCTGTAGCTCAGTGAGTTAGGTGCCAACCACATACACTGAGGCTGGCAGGATGAGCCCAGGCCAGCCCAGCTAAACAACAATGACAGCTGCAACAACAACAACAACAAAAATAGCCAGGCATTGTGGCAGGCACCTGTAGTCCCAGCTACTCGGGAGGCTGAGGCAAGAGAATCACTTTAGCCCAAGAGTTTGAGGTTGCTGTGAGCTGTGACGCCACAGCACTCTACTGAGGGTGACATGATGAGACTCTGTCTCAAAAAATAAATAAAGTGAAAACCATATGAGCATCTTAATACAATATTGCACATGAACTTTATGGCCACCCTTATTGCTAGATAGGGCAAATATTGATAAAACTTAATATGTATTCATGATTTTATAATCTACGTAGCAAACTAGGGCAGAAATGTAACATTTATTGGTGAAACATTAGAAGCATTCCATTTGCAATCAAGATGGCTTTAAGGATGCTCATTATCACATTTCTATTCAACATCATAGTGGAGGTTGTAGCCAGTGCAGATAAGATTTTTTTTTTTTTTT